GTCATTCTTGCGTATGCATCCATCAAATGATTTAATGCTTTTCTAGTTGGAAAGTATTTTCTAATTTGACAATGTTTTTAGCACATTTAGAATTGATAGGATGACGTGGGTGAACTGCTCAGAGTTTCTTTGTGATTGTGTAATTTGGTGCTCATGTGGACCTCACAGGGCATGACATATCCAAGGAACCTGGAAGCATGTAGTTTGTTATTATCTGTCAAGTGAAAATTACGGTTTGTATGCTGTCAGTTTCCTATTTGCACACCCCTGCTGCGAGCAGAAATTGCTGGAGAAACCTAACAGATCCAGCAATATCTGTGGAGAGGGAACAGAGCCAACATTTCGAGTCCAGTGACCCTTCTTCAGAACATATTGCCCCTGCTGATAATGTTGGATTGCTGAATTGCCAGACTAATCTCCACTTTTAGTGGAGAGCTAGTATCAACGTGTCTTTACTAATTCAAGCACTCTACTCTCAAAACAGGAATGCCTGATGTGGGTTTACTGGTGGTAACTTTTGATTGCAATTTTGTGCTGATTGTACTGCAGGCTGAGTTGAGATTATCAAAAAAAAACATCAATCTGTATGTGCTTATCTCTGTTGATGGTGCTTATAAAAGATTTATTTGTGATGCCACAAAGTACTCACCTAATACTTTGTATGTACACAGTAATCCTGAAACTGAAATGCTGTACGCTTCTCATAAACCAACTGGTTCAATTCAGTTTTAGCAAGAAGTTGCTGTGATTTGAATGTGGCTATTTCCAAATCATTAGAATGAGATGCAATCATGTCATAGCAGTTTTATCCATATATCTTGACCACTGAATGAATAAACCTGATTGGTGAGGAATTATATAATGATTTATAGGAGCCATCAAAGAGCAAAGTTGCTTATTTGCATTTATTAAGGTGATTACTCAATCTTTTCTAGACACAAACATGCTTCAACACTGTAGTATATGAGTTAAAGCAGCATGTTAAAACTACTGCAATTGAATCTGTTTACAGTTTTACAAATAAAGTGTCACCCAGAATTTCAATGTGATGGAGTCAACAGTGAAAGTAAATATGAGAGATATAATAATAGCTAAGGATAGAATACCTTTCTTCTTTTTGTCCTGAAGAGACTAATCCACATTGATCTTTGGCGATATGAGCAAGAACCATGCTTTTGCTGTCTTCAGGTAACAATTGTCATGTGAGATAGTGGGTTAAAGTTCCCTTTTGAGTGCTTTTGGATGGTCATTGGAAGTTTGGTGTGGGCAGGGCCTCATTAACCAAGGGTCACCTGATGGTGGGCCAGGAGAAGAACGTACACAGTCAACTCATGACCATAACAATAGGCTACTGGCTGTTGTTTGAGAGGGCTGGAGAAGGGATTGAGGAATCAGATTGGGTTCCATACAGCAGGAGCTACAAAATGTAGTTATATTTGGACTTCTCTTTTGCCTGAACTGGTTCATAATGTGCGCAACGTGCTTCACACTGTTGAGTTCTAAAATGGCATTAGGTCACTTTCAATGTCAGAGGACATTCTTAATGATTTTTAGATTGCTATTAGATGTTCTGCTTGCTTACTGAAGTCAGGTTTAGGATGGAGATACTGTTAAACACAATCCCGGTCCCCTCTTCAGTCAATAATTCCTGACATTGGTTACTGCACTAGCTGTTTTCCCACACTCTGACCCAGTAATCGGGTCTCTGCTGCTGCATTGATGGAGTCTAACCATCATAGATTGAAGAATCAAGTTTTAATACGTAATCATATGCTCCTTAAATCCAAACCATGGACATTTATGGCCATCTGTACAACTCACAAAATTTAATAATCTGAGTCTGTGTTTGCTATTAGCCTAGAGAATACTATAACACCCCCAGTGTTATAAATGATCTTGTTTCCATTATTCAAAAGTGATGTATGTGTAATGACAATATCCATTCTGAGAGCAACTAGGTGAATGCATAAACAGTAATTTGTATTTACTTCAAATGGACATTTAAAATTACAATTGCATGCCTTAGTGAAGCTAATGAGGGGACTGAGAGGGGGACTCAATTTCTCTAAGAATAATACATTAGGATGTTGTAATTGCAGGTTCAGTTGAAATTATGGTGAGTTTTGCTGATGCTTTGGAAGTAAAATGCACACCAATTTAACAGTGAGAAAGCCTGCACCAAATCTGCAGACATGGGTCTGAATTTATCTTCCTATGAGTGATATGGATACGCAGCCATGCAGGATTGGGAATGTGTGGAACAGGGAACAAATAGGCCACACAGGTATTTCATCCAAAACGTGGGAATGGTGCCAATCTGAAAGAAATTGCACAGTGCAACAAGCTGATGTCTCTCAGCAAATGCCTGAGATGTTTAGCCTCTCAAAGATGTTAATTAGGGCATTAATGCCTGTTGGAAGACTGAACTAACTTCAAGGAGGCCAGGTATCCAGTCACCAAGGCACCTTTTATTTACATGTGCACAGTGCATGAACTCTGACTAGCCAGCTCAGAGCCAGTCCCTGCGACAAGGAGTCTCTCTGAGACTCCTGCTTATATCAGTCAGCCAGTGCTCCCCAGTCGGCCCAGTTTAACAACCCCAATCAGGGATCCCTTTTACAAAATTAGTCACCAAAGATTTGGGCAGGCATTAGATTTGTTTAATTAAGTGTTCTTCAATGTTCCTTATGCTTGAAATCTGCAGGGAGGTTTGTTCTTCCGGGAAGTGACGCCGGGCAGAACTGGAGTGCACTATCCCAGTGATTGCATTCCCCACTGCCCTGGAACTTATCTGAGGGATATTTCCATCACAAAATTTAACCTTAAAGAGGTTATCAGCACTTCCTAAATCATTTAGGGGAGGGCCAAGCCCCAACTTTAAGCTGGCCTTTGGCCTATGTTCTGAGGGGTGTACTGTCCAGACTTAAGTTATTTACAGGGCATTATCTGGTTCACTTCCACTCCTGATCCTGAGATCCCTACTATTCTGACCTTGGTCTCTTGTTTGCCTTGGGTTTAAAAGATCTTGGTTCCGTTATTCAATAGTGTATGTGTAATGACAATATCCATTCTGTGAGCAACTAGATGAACGCATAAACAGTAATTTGTGTTTACTTCAAATGGATATTTAAAGCTACAATTGCATGCCTTAGTGAAGCCCAATGCTGAATTTCTGGAGATCATAGATTCTCATTGTTTGTGGGCAGTGTAGTTATCTTGTGTGATGGGGAAAGAGAATGCATACTAAAATCTTCAACTTGTGCTGGAAAATGATATATTTCTACATGTGGTGCCCAGTGTTGACATCAAGCACTATTGAGCCAGTTACACTATGGCCAGATAGACAGGACAACACTCTTCATCCCAATTCCATTGTTTATCCCTAGACCCTGACTAATTACCCCAGTCTCTCACATTACCAGTGTGAATTATTCAATATTCTACACAGGTTTAACACATCAAGCTTAATGTCAAATATGTGAGAAACTTTGGATGTGAATCTGCGATGGTAATCAGCCAAGAATCTTGCAGTTAAACTGAGGAGCCTTGATTCACACGAGTCTCAACTGGATTCAGCCTTCAAGGCCTATGGAAAAGGACAATGCATTAAATGTATTTCTGCATGAGGATTTCATGCAGCAAATTACAAGTCTAGTCTGTGATGTCGTGCTTAGGTGATTGACAAAGGCGGGATGATAAATTAGAAGTAAGATTTCCTGGAGTATGATTGACTATAGTTCTGCTATTGGCGGAATGCTAACCATGTTTTGATGATGTGAAATGCAGAATTAAAAGTAATATGAGTCACCATGGACCCAAAGGGCTGCTGTGTCATTAGAGATGACAACTGGTGGTGGTTTAGTCTGAGGGTTACCATGTCCCAGGTGAGAGACAAGGTTGAAAAGACTTGATTTCCTGGAGACCTGCAGAATAGTGAAGACAGAAAGCTGCAACAAGAAACTTCCTCAATTGTTTCTTTTGTGCGCAGTAAAGGATTGTCATAAACAAGATTCATGGAGCATTCTTGACTGAGGTCACCTGTCTACTATAAATAAAGACATATTTACAACTGAGAAGAATAGAAGATTAAATTCTTAGCCGATAAGATGTATAACAGTATTTGATTGAGTGTTCCAAAGATAAGCATTTAAAATGGTCCTTCACTTGTTGGTTGAAGAATTGCAAACTTTTCTAAACTTAACTTTTTTAAATTTAAAGTTGGTGAACAGCACAACATCAAAAGTAAATCATAAACTCATCAAAATATTACGGATTGAATCGAGTTGATCCCAAGATGGGATTAAAAACTTGATATGAGGAGAAAGCAGTTTTGAGGCTCTGGGAAAGAATAGGCTTCAATCTGAAGAAAGAAGGAAACAACTCACGTAGTGTGTTTTACAATTTCAGGACATCCCAAAACACTTCAGAAACAAGTATTTCTGAAGCATCATCAGTGTTGCAATGTAGAGAGGTATGGTGACAAATTTGTGTGAAAAGATTCAGGAACATCAATAAGATAAATGACCTGATATTCTGTTTCAGTGATGTTAGTTTGCTGATGTTGGCAAAGACACTATTTTACCAAAGTACCCTTGTTGCATTCTTCAAGCACAGGGTTATCAAAATGATGTACAGAATGATGGACAGACATTTTCACCATGTGGGATTGCATTAGGAAATGAAGTAGAAAGGTTTTACTTCTGCTTTTGAAGACTGGAAGTGAACTGAAAAGAAAAATTATGGAGGGCAGTATCTGCAGTAGCATTAGAAAAGAGTGGGCCAGTGTCAAAATAGTGAACAGTGCATGATGCAGATATATATATGGCTGGAGGAGATTCCCAAAGTAAGGTGGAACAGGACCATGCAGGGCAAAGATCTTAAAGCTAATTCACTGGAGCATGTGGAACTCAAGTTGACTGATGAGGCTAAATGAAGTGTGGCTATGCATAATCGTCACTAAATTAAATTGCCTATTGTTTCCTTATTGTATGTCGTAACAGAAGGCATTACTGAAGATGGTGGTGCAAATGACGTGTCCCACATGGAAGGCATCTGCTGCTGTGAAAACTGTGGAAGCTATCGGGTAATGGAGGAGTCCAATCAACATGATTGCTTCTGTGGGACAAACTGCCAGCAACAATACAAAATTCAGTAAGTAGAAATGAAACTCGCAAAACCTAATGCTAAAATAAAGAGCTTTCTGTTTTGATTGTGGATTCTGTGACTTGGGAACAGAATTTTATCCATCAAAACTGTCACCCCACTGTATACTGGCAATTTCAAGCTAAGTTGAAGGGTAAGCATATAATTATGTCCATAGAGGACGATTCTGAGAAGTAATAGGGAGTCTCTGAAGAAGTGGTGTGACCACAATTTGAATATTGAAGTAAATGTTGTCAATTAGTGCTTCTCGTGCAGAACTTACTGTGAGGAGAGCATATGTCAAAACTTCAGAGGTAGAAATTGATGCATTTTGCATGGGATAAATTTAAACCTGATTTGTTATGCTATACATGTTCAGTGCCTTTCTCATGAGAGGATGGGGGTGTGGGGAGTGGAGGTGTTGGCAGGGGTATCCCATGGCTTTTCCGCCCATCTGTCATGACTTTGGCAGAAGAGCCACATCAACCCTGCAAATGAGGCACTGACTGCCAGGTCTCTGTGAGTTGTAAATAAAAGCAGAAAATGCTGGAAATGCTCAGCAAATCTGGCAGCATCTGTAGAGAGCATGAGATAAAGTTGACATTTCAGATCATCAGGATTCCGTGGGAGTTTGTTAGATGGGGTGGCCATGTGTTTAGTTCTTATGGATCATGAGGAGACTGTGCTACTGCATTCACCATGTTCAATACTGCAGTGCCTGATTTTTCCGTTCCACATTGTGCCACACCCATCTTTAAAGAGGGAGAGGTGCTTAATGGGCTGAATGAACCTGATCGATAGTGGGATTGTAGTAGCTGTGGTGTACATTAACTTTGACACATTTTAAATGACAGGCACTAGAAAAAATTTCAAAATGTGGATCGAAAAATGTCAGAATAAAAAGAAATCAAGGGTTATGTTACATGGAAACTTACTGCATGTGGAGTTCCACAGGAGTCACTGCTGAGTCCACTTTTGTTCCTGCTTTATAATTGATAATTAGGTTCTTGGGGATCTACTGTTTAAATTTACTGTCAATACCGCAGTTGGGGTTTTGATAAACAATGAATATCGCCTTCTGGTGTGGACTCCTTCATTTCTAAAAGTACACTTGCTTCATTACAAATGTGGATTTCTAATTATTTGCTCAGAACTAATGTTAGACTAACTGTTTAATATTTTAATGGTTTATCCTTTCCTTAAGAAAGAATGCAATTTTGACGCCCTTGATTTCCATGTTGCTAGGCTTGATTAGGCTTGCTCTCACTTGTGAGTATAAAGGTTTTGACCTTCAAGTTCTCATCTTAACTTAATAAAAACTAAAAGAACTGCGGATGCTGTAAACCAGAGACAAAAATAGAAATTGCTGGAAAAGCTCAGCAGGTCTGGCAGCATCTATGGAGAGAAATAAAAGTTAACGTTTCAGGTCGAATGATCCTTCCTCAGAACTGATGGTAGGCTACCATTGGTTTTGAGGAAGGGTCACTTGATGTTAACTCTAGTTTTTTCCCACAGATGCTACCAGACCTGCTGAGTTTTTCCAGCAATTTCCATTTTTGTCTCATTTAAACTTGAGGGGCTTGAGCAGGTGATCTTAATGACACACTGTTGTACTATTAGATACACAATATTTCAGATGAGGTATCAAACCAGATCCTGGGTTTGCTTAAATACTCCATATATTTCTCTCAATTATTAATCTCCTCTTGAATACTTTGCATGAACATACATTTCAGTTTATTAAGAACCTACCCAGTTGAACCTTGAGCATGAATTTTCTTTCAGGCTAATCTCCATATTTGCCTGCATTCTGACTTACGATGTTTTGAACTGAAGAGAGTTTGAGATAAGGAGTTTGACAATGGTGATGAGTGGTTTGTAGATTTGGTGAAGGATGTAGAAGTAGAGAGGGACAAGGAAATCATCAGATTTAAATTTCAAGAAGAGAATTTTTAAACTGAGGAGCTGGGCGACTAATTAAGATTAATTTCCAAATTTCACAGAACAAAAAAGAAACCTCAGAATCTGTCGTTCTTCTCCATTGTTTTTAATATCCGCACTTGTTTGCACCTACTTCAAATTTCCATTTCCATTCCCCAGGATTTCTGGAGCATTAAGGACGGGAACCGGGTGAATTCCTGCCGAGTGTGTGCAGACCCAGCCAGCCCCTGAACTCCTATACTCAAATGTCTGAGCAATGAAGGCAAGCATGCTGAATGCCTTCTTAACCACCCTGTTTACCTGTGATGCAACTTTTAAAGAAGTATATACTTTTAAACAGTTCCCAATCTTCAGGCCTATTATTTCTCATGCCAATTTTTGGATGCCTCTTTTTTGCATTTAATACTATCTCTAACTTCCCAGGTAAGCCATGGTTTGGCCACTGTTCTGTTTACACACTTGCACAAGACAAGAATAAACAGTTTTTGTTGTTCACTCATTTGCCCTTTGAATGTTTGCCATTGCCTATTCACTCACTCCTATCAGCAACCTTTCCCATTCCACCACAGCCAACTCATGCCTGCTACCATCGCAGTTTCCTTCATTAAGATTCAGGACCCTAGTCTCAGAATCAACTACCTCTATCATATTAAAGCCATTCATCTCCAAGGGATCGCCCACAATGACCTTACCATTTATTCCTTTGTGATTGCACAATACCCAGTCTACGATGGCCTGTTGTCTAGTTAGCTTCTCAACGTATTGGTCCAGAAAACCAACTGGTATCCTCTAGGGATAGTAGGAACTGCAGATGCTGGAGAATCCGAGACAACAAGGTGCAGGGCTGGATGAACACAGCAGGCCAAGCAGCATCATAGGAGCAGAGATGGCCTGCTGTGTTCATCCAGCCCTGCACCTTGTTGTCTCTGGTATCCTCTAGGAATTGTTTTTCTATGATATTGTGACTAATTTGATTTGCCCAACCTATATACTGATTAAAGTCACCCATAAATGCATATGTTACTTCACCACATGCATCACTGATTTCCTGTTTAATGCCATTCCCAACATCACTACAATTTGGGTGGTCTGCATATAACACCCACTAATATTTTTAGTCCCTTTGTAGTTCTCAGTTCTATACACACAGATTCTATATTGTCTGAGCTAAAGTTTTTCCTTAATATTGTGTTTATATCCTCTTTAACCAGTAATGCAACTCCACCACCTTTTTCTTTTTGTCTGTCCTTCATAAATACTGAATACGCTAGAAGCTCAGTTCCCATCCCGTCGCGCAGCACCCATGTCTCAGTGTGATTAATTCATCCACTTTATTTCGAATGCTCCATGCATTCAGGTGCAAAGCCTTAAAGCTTATCTTTTTAATGTTCCTTGTCCCATTCCCAGTTTTATTTTTACACTGGTCTTGTTTGATTCTGACCTTTGATTCACATTTGCTACATAAAGCCAGACAATGGCTATCTCCAACAAGCAAGTATTTACCATTGCTGAATCCTTCACTATAAGTATCAATGAACTTAACATTGAATGGAAACAGAACTGCACCAATGCTATTAAGACTGTGGCTGCAACAGCAGATCAGAAGCTGGGAATTGTGTAGTGGATAATTCACCTTCTGTCTCTGCAGTGCCTGTCCATCTGTATAAAGCGCAGGTCAAGGATGTGATTGAATACTCAATCTTGACATAGATGGATACAGTAGGGTCCAACAATAGTCAAGACACTCAATGCCAACCCACCACCTTCAACATTGACTCCCTTTACCACTGACACACTGTAGTAGTAGTGTATATCATTTACAAGATGCAGTGAAGTAATTCACCAACACTCCTCCAAAAGAACCTTCCAAACTCCGGTCAAGGGCAACAAATATCACTACATGCATGGTCCCATCAAAGCCACACACCATCCTGAGTTGGAACTACATCAGTGATCCTTAAGTGTCTTTGGGTCAGAATCGCAGAGTTTCCTTCCTAACAGCACTATAGGTGTCCGTACACTCCAAGGTCTGCAGCAGTTCAGGAAGGTAGCTTGTTATTTTGATTCAGTTTTTATTTTGGGCTTTTAATACCACATAAAGCCTAATACAAACTTATGAATGTGAATTTTGAAGGAAAAAACACAATTTTGGAAATATTGCATCTCAAACTTTAATGCAGCATTTGACAACTTTAGAATCAAGGGCAGTCTGCCTAATTTTTCCATAGCTTATTAATGTACATTTTCAGTGGCGTCCTTATTAAAAAAAAGTTAATATAAAAATTTGAAACTGATCAATGATGACAATTTTAAATAATTGTGACCTTAATAATATACTTGTATGCAATATTTTTAGAACTTGCGAGAGTAAGTCATATTTCAATACAAGATTCTTCAACAGACAGCCCATTGTGGAGCATGTACCAATCAAGCAAAATGCTGGAACGATACTGAAATGCATCAAAAAGCGAAAGAGGAAAGTGAGTGTGAACCTAAAGGAAGATCCTGATGAAGATTTTGAAGATGGCCACATGGTTTGTGATAACTGTAGATATTTATGTTATTATGCAGTGGCATTTTTCGAAGAAACAATATTTCATCAAGCTTGAAGGTTTTGTTTTGCGTCCCATGATTACATGACAAATTTGATGTTGGCAGGAAGTGGTAATTGATTTACACCATCACAAAATTTCTCTTATAAATCTGGTCATACCCCAAGTCATAGCAGCCCAGTAGTCACAGAACCTTTTTGATCCAAGCCCCTTCGGTATACCCGTGCAAAAGTACAATGATGCCAGAAACACCTTACATCACGTGATCTGCATCCTAGTAGTGGATTTGTGCCTACTGCAGAAATAAGCACATTCCCAATCATTTTGAGATTTCCATAGATAGCAGAGCAGTGGGACTAGAGGTCTATTGTAATGAGTCTTTATCCCTCCAATTTCTTCACTGCACCTGGGAAGTGAGTAATGAGCTGAAACAAAACATAAAATCTCCTGCTTAGCCAGATGGTGCAGTGTACAGCTTGACTGGAATGAATATCACTTTTTTTATGTGTGATTAATAGCTACAATGGAAGCATCGTTCACAGGTCAACTGCACAAACTCGGTATTGAGTTATTATGAAGCAATATTCAAGTCAAATAAGAAGCAAAAACAACTGCTCATACATTACTATAACCTCTTCCTACAGAGATCCATTGGATCCTCGTTTGCTCACCACAGTTGTTTTGAATCCATTGGCATTTGTTGAATTTGTTTCCCAGCAACTAGAGTGTGCAATTAAACTGAATGTTAGCAGTAGAATTGGGATGAATGGTGCTTTGGTTTGAAAAAATGTTCCTGTTGGTGAAGAGTGCATTTTCATTGGCTCAAGGTATTAATTGCAGCATTTCTTTGAAAAAAAACAGTGAATATTTCCACTATTATAGATTCTGGAAAACAATTAGAGCAGTTTTGTTTTTATTGCTCCTTTAGTAGTTCCATTGCGACACACTTCATTATAGATTTGAGGGTTGTCTAAATCATCACAGTTTGCTGTGTGCTTCATAATCTCGAATTAGAAAGGTTCCTGTTTACAGAGGCAGAGGGAGATGAAGTGGGGGGCAGGCAGAGCTGCATGAAACTTCTCAACACCACGCTGACATAGACTTCTCTGGTATAGTTTATATTGAAACTCTCATACATATACGCTGACATATACACTGCGAATGCAGGCAGTGGACTGTACAATCTGAATGACCATCTGTTAAGTCTGGATGACTCATTGAGTATCATTTAGAAGCTTTGTTGGCATTTTTCTTCTGGATGCTAGACTTTTGAGATGCTGATAAGAGTGCTTCCTCGGCCAAAAGCAGACATGTTTTGTTCCCCGCCCCGCCCCGTGAACAGCTGTACCTGATTGCTCATCAGCAATCCCTTCACTAACCTATGAAATTAGACCGAACACCAATTTAGGCTCTGCACCAAGCCATCCTTTGTATGTGGTTGAATGGCACCACCCTGGTGCCTGGTATAAGAAGCAAGCAATGATGCAGCATCTTCGCAATGTGGGGAAAGGGAGCATGAGACCCCTGAATCTTGTATCAAAGGTTGTATTAAAAATGGTAAGATAGCAATGCATAAGAGGGACAGAGAAGCTCACATTTTTTTGACGTCTGAATTTTTGACTGTTACTCTAAATGAGAAAAGCAAAATTCTGTATTTGATTATTGGATGAAATTTTGCAATGCTTAAGAGATAAATAATTTCAGTGATATAAACTTGAAGAATGGAATGTGTTATGCGCTATAATTAAAACAAAGGACTTCCAAAGAAGGAATACTTGAGTGAAGAAAGGCAAATTTACACTGGTAATAAAAGCTGTGCAATACAAACAGGACTTTGAAAAGCTCAAGTTTAATGTCAGACAAATGTGAGAATTGTCTGGGTGCTTATAATGTATGTTATTAGGTGAAACTTAATATTTACTGATGCAAATGATTGCAGTGAACTCTGGTGAGAATTATGTAGATAAAATTTCTGAGAGCTTTGTTGGAGAATTGACAAGCTTCAGACTGATCACCTTTTCCTCATTTATTTGAGTTATATTATTTTGAAAGGTTTCATGCTTAATGTTGCAATGTCTGCACATAAATTTCATTTATAGCATCGGATAGGAAAATGTAATCTTAGCATATTAAAATGATTGGTAGAACTATAGTATTGAAATATAATCCTCTGGTGGGTCATTCTAATTTGGAAAAAAACTATGCTATTATGTGGTATCAAAAACACATTACTCTGAGTAAATTGCAGTTGCATCTGGTGTACCCAGGGCGCTGTTAATTTTTGATCGACTATAGAAGGAATTGTTTTATGCAGCTGTAGAAACTAAAGGTGTGCCACACGTGATGTTATCGAACAAGGTACAAAACTGAACTTTTCAAAATACAGCCTGATGCTTTCTTTTCATGAGTGGAACGTTTTTAACTTGATTGTGCTGCAGGAGGAAGTGCAAGATGATGGAAAAATGAAGATAAAAATGTCTGCAGTGCTGACTAACCACATGAACTTCAAAAGCAATCGGCTTTCTGACCCAAATTCCAAGTTCTCGAAACAGGGTACTCAACTTTTTTATTTGAAACATATTGTTTTATTGTTTTCCTGGCCGAGTATGTAATTTACATTTTAGTCACATTTACATGTGATATCTACGATAATCCTCATAGAGACTGACAGTTTGTAAAAATATATTTGAATTTCCAGTGACTTGAAGCACCACAGGACATGATTTCAAGATTTTAGAACTTTACCCAACATTGCCACCGTTCCCTATTCATATTTCCTTCCTAAAGCTCATCAGCATGGGAGCATGAATTATATATGGGCCATGTATCCAAGTAGAAATCCTAATTAGCTGTTCCCTCAACTCCCAGTTGCATGGCAGCTTAGGATTAAATAGATAGTTTAAAGTATGACCATTTATAAAGCCTGACCTTGCTCACAACTTTTTAAGACACTTGAAAACTAACAGTATATACATAGTCATTGCAAATGTACTTGCTATTGTCTGCAGGTATGAACATCTTGCACCTTGTTCCCAGTAAAGTAAATTGGACACCCCCCAACCCCCAGCCTTTAGTCTTTATCAATCAAGCCACCCAAGCTTGGATCAAGTTCCGTCACCCAATAGGTCAAATAACCATGTTCATTTCTCAATTTTATCACAAATTAATGAGAGAGTCCCAAAACATTACAGAAGTAACATCTTCATAATACCTCAGGGGCATATGTATGAAAGTTCCATTCAGAGATAGGAACACGAACAAATGGTCCTAATGGTTTCTTTTTGCTCTGTGAAATACTCAATGGAAGGAATGCTGTGCAGCCCTCAGGCTTGGTGATCACAAGTTTCATCTTTTCACATGAAATAGCTTTGCGATATTCAGGATCAATCCACTTCTGCTTAATTAATTAGTTTGCGTTTATAGAACCAATCTGAAATCAAAGAAATAAATGGGATGAAAACTTATTTGGGTTTCTGTAAAAGGTGGTAGTTTCCACCAAATTAAGACCTAAGTGATAAAGGTGAAAATTTACACCATGTCATGCAATGGAAAAGGGTAACATTGCAATGGATTGGTTAACTCTCATCTTGAAAAAAGTATCAATACTGAAGCTTCAGATTACGTTGCCACATTGTGAGAAAAGTGTTTGCGTCTTTGCTAGTTTGCTTCAAGTGATCCAGCAGAGATTCAGAAAGTGTCAGATGAAATTCACCACAGATAATTGTAATGTTTTGAAATGAGACAGTAAACGACAGAGTGTACTGTACATGTTAAATAGTAGCATTCATGAAATAAAAATATAAGATATGAAGATTTGATAGATGGATCATTAAGCATTATTAGCTGGTGAACCGGAAAGCAAATAGGGAATGTGGATGATGCTGGCCAGGCCAGTATTTATTGCCCGGAGGGCAATTGAGAGTCAACCACATTGATGTGGGCCTGGAGTCACATGTAGAACCAGGTAAGAATGGCAGATTTCCTCCCCTGAAGGACATTAGTGATCCAGATGTGTTGTCCTAAGAATCAACAATAGTTTTGTGGTCATCTTTAGACTCATAATACAGACGTTATTGAATTCACATACCATTATCTGCCATGGCAGGATTTGAACCTGGGTGCCCAAATCATTATCTAGGTCTCCTGGATTAATAACCTAGCGATAATACCATTAGGCTATCACCCTCTATACGTAACTGATGTGTTAAAGAAGACAGTGTTAAAGTTTATCTGAGATTCAGTAAGTCTTGGGCTTGGTTCTGTCATCTGTGTTACTAAATCAAAATGTTGGGAGGAACTCCCATGAAATGTCGTGAGGCTAATTTCTAAAGTTGCATGAGTTATAAGGAAAACGTGTTGAGCTGGTATAAAAAGATAAAGTCACCGTAGTCTTACAAGACACAGGGTTGTTGTCTCATTAGAGAGAGAAGCAACTGGTGGTGGTTTAACGTGAGGGTCACCATGCCTCAGGTGAAGGGGAAGTTGGAGAGTGAGAGTTCTTCATGGTAATCTCAGCCGTTGCAGAAATTGGGCCCACATTGTTGGTGTCACTCTGCATTACACACCACTGTCCAGCCAACTGAGCTAACCAACACCTTTTATTGAAAAGGAGAAGAAGAAAGAATTTGACAGAGATTTTTAAGTTATTTACTTGAATTTATGTCCAGAAAATTGGCTTGAGGAGACTGACTGACTCAATTTCAAGTTAAGGATATCAAAGCAGGATAACTCAGCATTTGTTGACTGATTATTGATGAAGTTGGTTGAATGGAAAAGCTTGGTACCTTTCACAAAAGAATTAGTTAACTTTCTATTGGCCAAGGAGGATTCAGGAATGTTAGTTCTAAACCATGGATAGAAACTGATGAGTATGTGTGGCAGAGTAGCTGATTCATCCAGGTGCCTTTTTTTGCCTAAACATATAGTAATTATATTTACAAATGAGATGCTGATCATTCATTAATTCACAACAACAAATGTGTGAAATTCTTGTAAGAAGCAAAAGGCTGCCTTTTTTTGGCTATTTTTCAGTTTGGTGGCCTTTTGGCTTGGACGGATTTCTGGTGACTGGAAAGATGTATCCATGATTCTAGCTCCATATATGGACTCAATCGTGACTATAACAAGCTCCATATAATCTCCTGTGGGGAGTCTTTGTGGACGGGTTCAAATAAACTATGGCAGACGGCCTTTGTCCTTCAAGCTAATGTTATTAACATTCCTTTCCTTAACACCCCCTTCCCAGCCCGGAAGTTGGCCTGGATGTTAGTTCCACGGGATTTCCAGCCTTTAACCATCAGTATGTCCTCACAATCTGTAACAGCACTGAATGGTATGACCCTTGGTGTCCCTCAGATTTAGTGTTGCTGTAGGATAAACAACAGAAATAAAGTTGCATGGCAAATTTCATTTATTTAAGTATCATTAGAATATGCCTGCTAGTACATAAGATATATTGACCAAACATCACCTGTTTTGGTAAGAAAGGTGACACGCACAATGGATCCTTGGCGTATTCCTATCCCTTTGGGGAAAGTCATGAGATAAAGGGCTCAAAACATTGGCAGCTTATTGAAGACAAACAAGAAAATACTAAGATGTGCTATTGATTCTAGCACTTCAAATGAAATGCATGCATGCATTGATGAAATCGGATTCTTGTAGTGTCATGCAATATTTATTTACATATACTAATCCTCAACGTTTACTTATTGGATTCTTTTTCATGTCAGCTGTGCCACTGACTGGAAAGAAAAAGGCTTGGTCCTGGCAACAGTATCTTGAAGAAGAGAAAGCATTAGCAGCACCTCCTAAACTGTTTAAAGAGGTACAGATATCTTGGTTTCAGAATAATTATTTGTAATTAATTTGTATGTTCGCATCTGCCTAACTGTTTATTGAAATTACATATGTAAATAGATAAAAAATATTATCAATTGATAGAATCAAAAGATTTGTAACCTTAGAGTTGCAGTTTTGAAATGCAGCACGTCTCCAATGTGTCATGCATCCACTGACCAAAGCACTGTCCAATGGTATCAACTATCAGTAGATTGAGTTTTGAGGCCGTGTTGAGAGTATGTCTGATTTGTAAAGCCTTTGATTTTCCAATGGAGTGTCTGAGGACTGAAAATTTTGGCTTCGTTTTAACATTTAAGCGCAATGATAAAACCTTTCGTAGCAAATGTTAAGTCTTTTGGTGAGGTTCTAGCCGCAGCAAAAGTATTGACATGTGGGAGTCCCAGACTTGATCAGCTGAAGCAGCTCTGTGCATTTGTTGGTCTTGCAATCTTTGTTTAAGGATTTATTTCTCTTGGAATGATGTTTCTTTATTACTTGTGCCTCATGCCGGCCTTTTGAGACTTAAGACATATTTTGTTTTTCATAACCGCAGGATATCTCAAAGCATTCTACATTTAATGAGGTGTTGGCAGTGCTGTAATGCAAAAAGTTCAATTTGTACACAGCAAGGTCCTGCACAGAACAATGTGACCTGATCTTGTTTGTGTGATACATGATGGCTTGGATGCTGTTATGAGCTCCTTCAGAGTCTCACTTGTACTGTTCCTTTATTGAACTGAACAAGGGAGAGAAGCATGAAATAAGTACTTCTAGTAGAGATCACATGACTACAGCAAGCTAGGTGACATTGATTTGATTTATTATTGTCACATGTACCTAGATACAGTGAGAGGTTTTGTTTTGCATGCTGTACAGGCAGGTCATACCATCAAAGTGTATTAGGGTAATAGAACAGAGCGAGAAATACAATGTTACAGCTGTAGAGAAGGCACACAAAAAGCGACATAAGCATTAATTTTATAAGCTGAGAGACCCATTCACAAGCCTGATAACAGTGGGGAAGAAACTGTTCTTGAATCTGTTTGTAGGAGTATACAAGCTTTAATATTTTCTACCCAATGGGAGAGGGTGGAAGTGAGCATAACTGGGGTGGAAAGAGTCTTTGATTATGTTGGTTGCTTTCCTGAGGCAGCGGGCAGTATAGATGCAGCCAATGGAAGGAAGGCTGGTTTGCGTGTTGGACTGGGCTAACTTCATGATTCTCTGTAGTTTCTTGCAGGACATGCTGAATTTCCTTAGCCTCCTGAAGAAGTAGAGATGTTGTTCTGCATTTGAGTACAATATTGCATTTCTATCCCAAAATACCCCTTTCCTTACGAAACATTTATATGTTATTATTCACACTAAGTTACTAAAGTTATCCACAATGCATACAGCTATTCCCATGCATTAACATTTTGTTGTTCAGGTCAGTCTCTGCACGTACATTGGACACAAAGACTTGAAATCATGTTGCTCATTTCACGGTATGTGCACACATTTCCATCAGTTGTTCATCCTCCTGCAGGACGTGTCACTCCCGTTTCACTAGTTGGAGATGTGGTGATTGCTGTCATTTCGCTTCCCTTGATGGGTTGCTGCAGTTCGCTGGGACTAATGGTTGGTCAGTGATTTTTGCAGTTAGTTCCTTCACATCTTCCTGATTGGCCGCCTGCAGTGAAGGAGCAGCTTCTTGCGTTGTACATATGTGCCTGTATTAGCAACAGTTTGCTATCTTGTCATTCACTTCTACCACATACAATCGATGTGACACTTGCTCTATGCAGGTTCCAAGTTGCCACTTGTGCTGACTCTTGTTGAGAGTATTGAAGGTTTGTATCCTGGTTGGCATTTGAATGTTTAATGCTGGCACTGGTTTTGCAGCTTTGTCAGAATAAAATTTGGCTTTCTGCCATTTCTGTCATTTTGTTGCTCTTGGCTGTTATTAATTTGGGCTTTAGTTTCATCTGGTGAGCTCTAGCAGTCAAACTAGATTTTGATCATGGTCAACGATAACTTCTTCTCTTGTGTCTTCGAATCCATTAATTAGCAAATCATCCATTTCAGCTTCTACTTCACTAGAAGATCACTCACTAGCTCATGCTACCTGTGTTGATACTTTTATGGAGCCACAGAAATGCCAAACATGTTGTGTCACCATTTGCATCCCACGAAAGGCATTCAGAATGTAATTGGAAAGGTGCTGCTTTCATCCAGCATCACTTGTCACTAAGCATTCCTCGCATCTACCCCATGTCAACTGTGCAGATTGCAGCAGGATTCCTTGCATAGTTGACATGGGGTAGTGAGATTTCTTCAGAGTTTTATTTAGATCCTTTGTATCAGTACATTCACATCTATTGAGGGTGTCATGGGGAGATGGTTGTTGTCTGGCACTTTTGTAGTGCAAATGTTGCTTGCTACTTAGCAACCCAAGTTCACATGTTGTCCCAGGTCATGCTGCATGTGAGCACAATCTGTTTGAGGAGCTGAGGAGAGTCTTTCCGCTTATGTAACGAAACTGACAGGGTCTTGGTTTGAAGACTCGCCCAAAATACAATATCTGTTAAAGTGCAGTACTCTCTGAGTGCTGCACAAAATGATTGGCTTCCATTCAGTGCTCATTTCTCTGGGCTGTGACGAGAATCCGCAACTTCATCTTTGGAAGCAAGTGTGCCACTGGTATCTGTCAAGTTTATGTTGCATCCTGTCATGAGGTGATAATTATTTAGGGAATGCTTTGCCTCATTGAAATGTGGAAGGCACATTTCTGAAGGACTAATAATTTTAGATGCCTTTTGCTCCAAACAATTTGGCCATATCTCTGATTATCTTGGAGTCTGCATTAGTAGACCTCCATGCATATATCCAGGATGTGCCAAAAGGAGCCCGTTCCTGCTTTTCCAAGGCTTAATGCCACTGAGTACCATCTGTAAGCATCTGAATTCATGTTTCCTGGACGAGTGGGAGCACAGATGTCCTGGATGATCTGAAGGAGCTGACAAAGATGTGCAGAAGAAAGACTTGAATTTTAAAATAGTGGATAAGCTCATTTAAAAAGGAGGCATTGTTTATCTGGGAATCAGTTTTATCAGCAAGCATAAATGTGAATGGGATTTTGTGTGGGTTAGGACTCTGACAGCTAAGATTGTGACAAGTAACTCAGCACCTGACTTCCCAAATCCTGTCCACCATCTGCAAAGTATAGATTAGGAGTGTGATGGAATACTCCTCACTTGCCTGGATGAGTGCAGCTCCAACAACGCTCAAGAAGCTTGACACCATCCAGGACAAAGCAACCCGCTTGCTTGGCGCCACATCCACAAGCATCCACACTCTCCACCATCGACAATCAGTAGCAGCAGTGTGTACTATCTACAAGTTGCACTGCAGAAATTCACCAAACATCCTTAGACAGCACCTTCCAAACCCATGAACACTTCCATCCAGAAGGACAAGAGCAGCATATACATGAGAACACCACCACCACCTTCAAGTTCCCATCCAACGCACTCACCATCCTGGCTTGGAAATATACCACTGTTCTTTCAATGTCACTGAGTCAAAATGTTGGAATTCCGTCCCGAATGGCATTAATTGGTAAACCCAGTGAATGTGGACTGCAGTGGTTCAAGAAGGCAGCTTGCCACCACCTTCTCAAGGGCAGTTAAGGAAGGGCAATATATACTGGCCAGCCAGTGACCATCATAGCCCAGAAGTGAATAAATCTTAAAGAGTAACGTCTTAAATGGAGAATTTTAAATATTAATTTTTCTAAAGGCTGAGCATGATTTGAGTGGTAATAATAAATTAAATAACTTTGGAGAGTAAAGGGAGGTTGAGATGAGCCATAGTTTGCAATTCTGGAGGGGTTGAGTGTATGTTTTCACTTGACAGAGAACTATTAATGATGATAAATAAGATGGGACCCAGGAACGTTGGCAGTCTTAGAATCATAGACTCCCTACAGTGTGGAAGCAGGCCATTTGGCCCATCGAGTATATACTGACCGTCTGAACAGCAAACTGCATATAACACCACCCCCCACCCCCCGCCACCATAACCTGTCATTTCCGGGTCTAGGCCCGAAGCGTCAGCTTTCCTGCTCCTCTGATGCTGCTTGGCCTGCTGTGTTCATCCAGTTCTGCACCTTGTTATTTCCCATGACTAATCCACATAGGCTGCACATCCCTGGACACTATGGGCAATTTAGCATGGCCAGTGCACCGAGTCTCGGATGGAGATAAAGCCGAGGGAGCAGGAGGTGGATGAGCTAAAAGACGAGATGGGGAGATTTTGCGAGATAAATGAGAGATAGATGTGAGTTGAAGCCTGCTGTTTGGGCCGAATGCAGGCGATGTGATCCTGTTGCTCATTCAGCTGGAGTTCTGTGTTACCGCCATTGACCAATTTCACTACCATTTGTGACCAAATAAAATATCACTGTGTATTTTTTTTTTGAAAGAATATCATTACGTTTCAAACATTAGTGTAGCTCAATTTCTTTTTTGTTTCAGTTGCTTTCGAAAGACAGGTTCTCTTAATAACACCATGTAATCATTGTTTTATTTTAGCATAACATAAAAAGGATGATGATCGTTTGTCATTTCACATTATTGTGACCTAAAACTCACAACTGAAACCCTCTGTGCTGTTTTGCATTCCCAGATGATTTTACAGTTAATCATTCTCTCAGTTCCCATAGCAACCAGTAGTCATGTACCAAATAAAGTCTGGGTGAGCATTGCTACATTCATTGAAATTCAAGCACAGGAGGTAACGAGAATTGTTTCGTTATCTGTTGCGCTATCTGTGTTTGCCTCTTCAGTTTTCATGTAAATAAATATGATTTTCCTGTATGCACAGGGTACTGAAAATCAAAAACGCAGTGTTATTCCAGCGATTAGAAAATGTTCTGAACTTTCCATGCGTATTCACATTAGAGAAGAGCAGAAAAAAAACATTTGCCAATTCAAATGCAGTAAT